CTTAACTTGTCATGTTTATTTAAGTTTTATTGCCTTACGAAACAAAACACACATTCAACTCTTAGAAAACCATTTAAACTCTAACACGTTTTTCATTTCCATTAACAAAGACAACCTAAACATGTTTCATCTCCAACTCATTCACCAATGTTTATTCAAGTTTTGTGTTATTGAGATGTTGTAGTTTTGTTGTTATTAGATGATAAATGTTTAGTTTTGTTGTTGTTGTTATTGAGTTGTTTAAGGTTAAGTGGAGGTTTTTAGTTATGTTGTTGCATAAATGATTGTGGATAATGTAGTTTTAGTAGTTATTGTTCTTGTTGTTAAGATTGGTTTAATGTTATGGTTTTGTTTTTTGAACATAGATGGACTATTCATCTAGAGACACTCATACAAATGAGTGTTCTACTATAAAGAGAACAAAAGAAAAAGAAAATATAAAAGTGCTACAATTATGGTTAAATTAACAAAAGTCTGCAAATCAGTTGACCGATTGCCGATCGAGTTTAATGAAAAAACTTGTAGTTCTTCTTATTATGAAACTTAAGTCTGATTTTGAGCATCCATGTGTGAAATGTAATTTTATTGAGAAACATGTTTGGGAGAAGTTTGTCAAGTCTTGTAGTTCTTCTTATTTCTTAGTTAGTAGTAATCTCACTTTTTGAATAATAATTTTATGCTTATGATTTTTAGATAGAACTATGTAAGTTAATATGTTCAGTATCTTTATAACATGTTAAAAGTGAATCAGAAAAGTTAAACAAGAAAAAAAATAACAAAGCCCTCATAGATTATCTCGTGGAGGTTATAGAAAACTTGTAGAAGTATTTATTAATGAAAAAAAACAACAATTGGGAGATTGTAATTAGATTCTTTTATCAATTAGAATATTAAATATAGGATTTGTTGTGTGTAATTTAAATCACTTTGGTAATAAAATCTTATTTATGTTGTGTAGGATTTGTTGGTTGATATGACATAGTGTAAGCAATCAGAACAAGGAAACAGAGTGGACGCGTACATAGTGTTGGAGAAGACATCAACCTGAGATTATTCTTTGGTGTATCAAGAAAGAGTAAAGAATTGCGAAATAAAGAGATGGACGAGCTCGTTGATAAGAATTTATCATATGAACAGGAATCCTAAAAGAAAACGTTGGATGAGATGTACAATAAGAAGTTGGAAGAAAAATTAGCACAAGAGCGTAAATTCCAAAAGAAAGAGTTGGAGGAGATGTACAATAAGAACTTGAAAGATGCATTACCACAAAAATGAGATGTACAATAAGAAGTTGGAAGAAAAATTAGCACAAGAGCGTAAATTCCAAAAGAAAGAGTTGGAGGAGATGTACAATAAGAAGTTGGAAGATGCATTAACACAAAAGCAAGAAATGTGCAAGAATGAGTTGGAAGAGCTTTGTGCAGTATGTGAAAATAGTGTTTTGTGTGTTGCACCTGTTTTATGGTCTTATAACATGACATATACGTTGTGTGTTGTTGTTTTTTGTACGATGTAGAAATCGACACGAATGGGTGTAATCGTCCAACCGAGTACAAATGAATGTGGTGAGTTGTCTGAAAGAGTTGTTTTTGGTGGTGGAAGCATAAAAGGAAGTTGTTTAGCCGCCCATACCCAAAATGAGATGATGATTCATTCTGACGATTCTTTAAGAAAATTTGTATGTTTCATTATGGATATTAAAAAACACATTCCTCCTCAATTAGAGGATGATCGAGAGTTAGAGGTTTTCTATCTCGATCTTAAGGATATAAATGATTTTTTGTTTGAAAATGGGTGACAGTACATAACGATACTACAATTGTGGTGCACGTAAGTACAACTTCTATTCTAATAAATGCCAATTTTAAATTTGTGCACATAAGTAATTTTAATGTTAAGACTCACTTATTTTTTGAATTTTGTTTAGCCATTTAGGTAAATTGCATAGTTTTTGTACAAAATCAAATAAGTCAAATATTTATGGATTCTTTGACCCATATAGTATTCAATTTATAGATAATTCTTCAAAAGTGATTGAAACATACATATCATCCAAGTTAAGAGAGATGAATAAAAACAGTTATTTAACACAATTTATCGATTCGTGAGCAATTTTGAAATTGTCATTTCTTTATTATATTTACTTTTCATATTTTACCAATTACTAATTGTGCCCGTGTTCATTCGACGATCATTCGCAATTAAATATGGTAATTTTACTATGTTCTTTATCCAAAACACTTAAAGCAAAGATGAAACTTATAATTTTTATGGAAGTTTATATTTTATGAAACTTAATGTTTAATTTGTTTTCAATATTTATTATTAAGTTTAACAAAATTATTCATTCACGAAAAAAAGACATAAATTACTTTAAAATATATTTACTTCACTTTAAAACAAACACAATAAAATTATTATAAAACATGATATTTTCAATTAACTAATCTTATTAATTATTTATATGTATTTGATTATCATAAATAAACAGTAAAATATAATGTTTAAAATATAAAGTGCATAACAGTAATTGAAAATAATAATTAATTGTATATTGAAAAATAAACATAACATTTTGTATAAAACAAACTTGTTTTTGGTAAAGTAACATTTATTGTAAAGCACAATGAATACTCCAACTAAAAATAAAATATAAATTAAAATGAATTTTAAAAATTAAATAGATTTGATTCAAATTAAATTAAATATATTTGACTTATAGACAAGTTTGTTTATATTTTATTCTGAATAAAATACACATAATATGAGAATAATGTAGTAAAATTTTAAAATAATTTGATTCAGTACAAGATATTCAATAACAAAATTCCAATTGTAATTTTTCTCACATTAATCAATAAAGAAGCTATAGCGAGATATGAGATAATTGTCAAACACAAAGCAATGTTAGTAGTAAGAGGTTTTATACAAAAATCTAGATTAAATTATTTTGAAGTGTTTGCGTTTGTAGCGAGACATGATATAATCACACTACTGATTGCGATAGTTGCTAACATGAATTGACCTCTAACGCATTTAGATATGAAATCTACATTTCTAAGCGGTCAATTACAAGAAGAGGTATACGTGTCACAACCTCTTGAATTTGTGAAAAAGAATCAAGAAGGGATGGTGTACAAGTTACATAAAGTATTGTATGGAATGAAATAAGCTCCTAGAGCTTGAAATCTGAAAATTGATTCATTTTTCAAGCTTTAAGAATTCAGAAAGTGTGAGATGGAGTATGACGTTTATGTTCAGTATACTTCTGAAGGCAATATGATTATATGTGTTTGTACGTTGATGACATATTGCAAACAGAGAATTGTGAACACGAGATAGCTAAGTTCAAGAAAGTGCTGATGAATGAGTTTGAGATGACTTATAGGAAAGATGACATATTTTATAATGATGAAGTTTATGTACTCTGAGAAGGGTGTCATTTTGCATCAACTGAAGTATAAGCTTGAGCTTCTAAAGAGATTCAAGCTGTAGAAATCTAAGGTTGTTGTCACACCGTCAAAAACAAATCGCAAATTGGATTCTGATACTGAAGGTGGTGATGTTGATGCTACAACTTTCAAGCAGTTGATTGGCTCTCTAAGGTATTTGTGTAATATCAGACCTAATATTTGCTATGCAGTTGAAATGGTTAGTAGATTCATGAGTAAGCTGAAATGGTCTCGTTATCAAGCTGTTGTCAAGATTATGAGGTATATAAGGGGAATCTAAAGTATGAAGTTTTGTTCCCTTTTGGTGAAAAGGCTAATTTAGAGCTGACGTGTTACTCAAACTTTAATTAATGTGGAGATAGAGTTGACAAAAGAAGTACTTCTGGATATTTGTTTAAGTATCTGAGAGGTCATGTATCTTGGTGTTCCAAAAAGCAACCAGTTGTTGCTTTGTCAACCTGTGAATCTGAATAAATTGCAGGTGTTGTGGTTGTATGTCAAGTTGTTTGATTTCTGAATTTACTGCAGGATCTGAAGATCAAGGTAAACAAGCATGTGAAGCTGATGATTGATAACAAGTCTGCAACCAATTTTGCCAAGAAACCATTGCTGCATGGGAGAAGTAAGCATATTGAGACTAAGTATCATTTTCTGAGAAGTCAAGTCCAGAATAGACTACTAGAAGTTGTGTACTGAAGCATCAAGAAGCAGCTGACAGATGTTCTGACAAAAGCGATCAAGGCTGATCAATTTCTCCACTTTAGGGATGAAATTAATATTGTTAGTTTTAATTAGTTAAATCCTGAGTTAAGGAATGATGTTAAAGGCTAATTCAGTATTTTAGTATTTAGCCTATGTGACATTATTGTTTGTGTATATAAGTAGTAGTGTGCTTAGCCATTAGTGAATGTAATAGAAACGCATTATACGATAGAGTAGTGATGTAATTATTTTCTGTGTGTAACCGTTAGTTGAATTGTAATACAACTTTGCTAGAATTTGTTATCCTCTCTCTTCTCTCTTCCTCTATCTTCGTCTTTTTCACCTCGTTTACTGACAATTATTCTATATAAAACAAAATTGTTTTTTTTAAAGTAACATTTATTATAAAGCAAAATGAATACTCCAACTAAAATAAATTTTATAAACTAAATAGATCTGATTCAAAATTAAACTAAATATATTTGACTTAGAGACAAGTTTGTTTATATTTTATTTTGAATAAAGTACACATAATATGAGAAAAATGTAGTAATTTTTATCTATCATATTAAAATAATTTGATTTAGTACAACAAAATTCCAATTGTAAAAAAGATTCAAACATTAATCAATAAAGAGGCTGTCCCACCACAAAACATCACTCTGCATCCTCATTTATGACCCATCTGGCATCTCTCTTATTTCACAAACTCCTTCAAAATTTTGTTCCATAGAAAATAGAATAGTGAACTGTGAACCAAACCATCATCTTCCTCTTCCTCAATCTCTCTCTCTTTCATGAAAGAGAGAATACACTTTTTTTTACTACTTTCTTTCACTCTTCCTAATGGCTCTCCTCACTAATCCTCCTCAACAATCTCACTCCAAAAAAACACTCCCAAAACAAAAACACAAAACCCAACAACAACAACAACAACAGAATCAAAAACAAAAACAGAAACAGAAACAAAAGCCACCTTCTTCATGGGACCAAATCAAAAACATCCTAACTTGCAAACAGATCGAAGGCTCCACCGTTCACGATCCTTCAAAACCAAACAACAGTTACTCAAAATTAGGTTCATCTTGTAGCTCAATTTGTAGCTTCAGAGACGCTGTTCACGGAAACACTCGAGTTGTTCATAGGTCTGATAATTCATCACCAGAAAGTAGCATCTTAGGTCAAGAAACAAGTTTACTCAAAAGAAAATCTGTCGCTGCCACTGCTTCATCATCATCATCAAGAACTCGCTCTTCTGCATCATGTTCTGGGAAATCCAACGGTGGAAATAACTACACGTCATCATCTTCCAGAGGAATGCAGTTCAGAAAACTCTCTGGATGTTATGAATGTCACATGATCGTTGACCCTAGCAGGTAAAAAATGGAGAATATTTTCTTCTCTATTTTCACTAAATTTTAAAGTTTTAAAAAACAGTCAATGGATGTGAAAACGGCGTCGACAAAACAATATCGACATTTGCCGTTAATGTTAAAGAATAAATTATAATTAATTCACACGACAACCGCAACACCTATACGGATCGTAATCTGAGAGTCTTTATCCGACTGCAATATGTCTGTGACCTTTTTTTAATGTTATTTCTTTTGATGTGATTGAAAAATGAATCAGGCTAGCAATTCCTAGAAGCACAGTGTGTGCTTGTGATCAATGTGGAGAGGTTTTCCCTAAGATTGAAAGCTTGCAGCTTCATCAAGCTGTTCGTCATGCTGGTATAACTTTCTTCTTTCTTTTCTCTTTTATTTTTTCTTTCATTTAAGTCCAAAACATGCAACAACATTAATACCATTTATTATCACATTTACTCTGTGACCATGTTCACACACTTTTTGACAACATATTAACTCCACATTTTCCATAAATAAAAGAGTGTAATAATAGTTTTTTTTTTTATGTTCCAATGTACTATACGGTAACAAGAATATAGATCCGGTGGTTTTGTTCTACTAGCTACTAGCTAGATAGCTACTAATATACTAGTTGTGTGTTTATATCAAATTACGAGTCGAATTTCTTTTGAGCTAAAATTCAATCATGTATATGGGGAATCTTGAAACTAATTTAAAGCAAGCTTCGAAATTTGAAACAAAGGGAAGCAAAAAGGACCACCATCCATGCATATATCATAATAAGCTTGTACTATAATGTACTCCATTTTCTTTTAATCAACACTTTAATAGTTTTCATAAAACAAAACTAGTAGTACTCTGTAACATCCACATAGACGAAAATTTAAACAAAATTTATAGCATTGATGCATCACCATCAGCCATTGACTCAGAATATTGATCACTTATGCACATGCACCCACCAAAAAAACAGTGCATTTGTTACTAGTCTTCAACGTACACAAGTAGTTTCTTGTTTAAGAGGCTTATACGTACGAAACAACAGCTGTATAGTGTAAGAAAGATTAATGATCTGCATCTACCTCTCGACTCCAAATGTAACAAACTGACAAATATCAATTTCAAATCACAATTAACCACTATTGTACAAAAGTAAATTTTCAAGATAGAAAATTCATTCTTTTTTGACCCGCACACTTCTTCCTATAGAAATTCAAACCAAGTTTGCCAAGTTTTGCATCTTGCATCTGCATAGTACTTAAATCATACGAAATCTTAGAATTTCAGATTTAATAATAAATCTCATTTGTATGCTATTTAATTAACTAATTTCAGTTTCGGAGCTGGGTCCGGAAGATTCGGGTCGGAACATAGTGGAAATAATATTCAAGTCAAGTTGGTTAAAGAGGGAGAGTCCAATGTGTAAGATCGAACGGATATTAAAAGTTCATAACACCCAACGAACAATCCAACGGTTCGAAGAATGCAGAGACGCAGTAAAATCCCGTGCAACCGCAACAACAAAGAAAAACCCTCGGTGTGCCGCAGACGGCAACGAACTCCTTCGTTTCCACAGTACAACCTTATCCTGCGCACTAGGTGCACGTGGATCCTCCGCCTTGTGCGCCACCGTACCAGGCTGCGGAGTGTGTACGATCATCCGGCACGGTTTTCAAAACAAAGGAGGTGTGAAAACTAACGCTAGCAGTGGTAGGGCCCACGACAACTCCATTGGAAGGACCGGAGAAGATTCTAGAAGAGCGATGCTGGTGTGCCGTGTAATTGCCGGGAAAGTGAAGCGCGTGGCGGAGGAAGGTGCGCCGCCGATAACGGAGGAGGAAACGGTGTCGTTTGATTCTGTTGCGGGGGACGCGGGAATTTACTCGAATCTCGAGGATTTAACCGTTTTCAATCCAAGGGCTATCCTTCCTTGTTTCGTGGTAATCTACAAGGTGCTTCATGCTGAATAATGAATGAATTTTAATTATGATTTAATAATCTTGGGTTTGAAGTAACTTAATTAAGGTAATAAAATAGTAGTATTTGTAATAAATTTGTAGTACCATTTTCGTCCCCAATCTTGATATGCGATCTAAAATCTTACATTAATTAATTGTTATATTAAAAAAAATATTTGAGGGAAGTCTTCACTTACAAATAATGTAAGGGAATGATTTTTATTGATATTTTTTTGGATTGAGAATTAATGTGAGGACGTGTCGTTAAGATTGGGGACGAAAATGTAATATATTATGTCCTTATCATTAAATTGTTATTATTAGGAAGATGTTTCTCCTAATTATTGATGGATCAACTATAAATATACGTTGATTGATTACTACTTTGGTTGTTTTATTTATTATTATTATTATTATATGCTAGCCTAATAATTTACTGAATTATTGTTAATGGTTAGATTAATTTTTTGTATGTCGGTAGGCCAAAATATGTGTTTTTCTTTTTTTATATGCAATGTATCAAACTCTTAATCAAACATCGAAAAGTTCAAACTTCTACAATTTGTGTTATGATATTTATTCAGAGTCCAATATTGAGTAAAATTTAATATGATTGTGTTGATAAACAAAGACGATCTATATTTAAAATAAAATTTTAGTAGATAATTTATAACTAACATAAAATTTTATGATGATATTATAGTTTATGAATTTAGATCATCTTCTTTATATTTGACCTCAAATTTATTAATGTTAATTTCATATCAATTCAAGATTAAAATATGTTTAAAATTAGTAGTAGTTTTCATCAAATTTACATTATCGAGTTACTTATATGACATTTTTAATGTATAAAGAGACAAAATCAAGATGATATTTGAGGGCATGCAATGCAGATCATTATACAAGACTCAAAATTTGTTATAGTAAGTTTTTCATAGATAAGTCCTTATAAAATCTATTATTGTTAAATATGATTTATAATTATATTGTTATAGTTGAAATGTGACTAATTTAAAAAAATCTCCAAAAACTTAAACCAGGATTCATAGGTTCACATTAGTTACGCTAGATATTTATATATAAGTGAAATAACATTTAGAATGAGGATTAATTTTATATAATTGAATTAATTTAAACTGAACCTCTAAAAATATTGGGGTTGGTTAAGTTGGTGTCGGTTGGTTGTGCAATGCTCACGCGTGGTCCATAGGGATCATAGTAGTGTGGAAGGTGGAACCCAGTTTGGTATCAAACTTGTATGGATCCATCCCCACCTATTACTAATTGGAGTACTCTCTTTGTTTGTATACATGTTTACAATATGGTATTGCTCATGATCAATTTCCCAATCTATCTTTATTTATTTTCGAGCATTTAATCAGCGCAAAAGTAGCTAAAAATTAAACTTTTATGATCGTCCTATACTTTTGGTGCTGGCTAAAAATTAAGGACATTGACTGTTCATGTGTGAATGAAACATCAAAGTCCCATAAAATAAATTAAGGTGGTCTACAAACTATGGATTGAGGTATGACTAATACCAATACACATATTGAAGTTGATTTGCGTGTTGCCATACAAAGATGAGATGTATAATAAGGTCGTTTGACAAGGTTATCATGATTCATGATGCAGGTCAAAGTGAGTCGACTACCTATTATGCAATAATTGAAAATAAATATAGGATAATTATAAGAAAGAGTGAGAGAGAATGAGGTTGGGAAGTGATTAGTTTTACTTGTCCTTGACCAAACAACACTTTTTCTTCAAAAGACATGATGAACAAGGTAGATTATATTTGTTTTTTTGTTTCTTTTTGAATGTATCTAATCTTTTAGCATAGTAGAACACACAAGTTGATAATTGCCAACACATGCGCCAGCACATGGAGATTCATTGCTTTCTTAATGTCTCAAGCGTTTGGATTTTGGGAGAATTCACCCATATTCGAATATAACATCCCATGATGCTATGCCTTAAAGTAAAAACAGTGGTTGATGTAGTCAACTTGGTTGTGCGTTTTATATTCTTAATCATGGATTAAGGCTAAGTTATTTTTTTAATAAAGAAAACTTGTAAGTGATTTTTACTCCGAAGAACTAGCCTTATAAGATGTTACACATGCATATTTTTGACAATGTGAAATTCTAATGCAGTTTAATATCTATGTCTATTGCTAGTGAAATTTTATTTAGTTAAATAAATCTAATAATCAATCTGAATTAGATCATAAGGGAATTCGATTTTAATTTGACATGATTATGAAAGAACGAGAAACAAGAAAGAGGGATTTGAATTGGATTTCACCAAATGTGAATTTTTCTTGAAATTCAAACTTCAATGCTAACCAGAGAATAAAAATAAATAGATACAATTATTTTTTTATCATGGTTCACTGTTATCCAAGTTACTCCAATTCACTCATCAATGTGATTTCCCCTTAGAAAAAGACTTAATCCAATAATCTAGAAAGATTATAACCTCTAAGTGTTAGAAAACAACTTAGCCCTCTCAAATATACAGACTAACGACTTAGTCAATTGAGGAATAACCACTTTGAAAAGTTTACAAATGTGTGTACGAAGAATTGCTTCTAAACAAGCAGATTAAACAAGCTTAAGTACAATAAAACAAAAGTGTTTTCTAGCAAGATATGAACAACAATTCCTGGCTAATATACAAAACTATCTTAAGAATAATCTCCAAGAGATTTGTATCATATCAGTATGAGTTTTGTTGCTTAAAAGCTTTTTTTAATGCTTCTCTCTTTTTCTTGTAGAGCAGCGCATTATCTTTTGTTTGAGCATCAAGCATCTTCTTTTTTAGCTTACGACTTGATGCTTTGCTTCCGCTTTACACACATACTCTCGTGTTTTTTCAGCTCTCTCTATTCTTTCTTTGGATGAGCATAGTCTGCTTAGCTTCGCTTGGTTTAGCTTAGCTTCGCCTTTCTTGACTTTTCTTCTCTTTTTGGCTCTTTTAGCTCTTTCATCCCATTCTCAATGCTTCAAATTCTTCCTTTTATATCTTGAGGATGTAGGTGCTTCTTCAAAATCAACACGTAATTAGCTTCCGCAGTTGAGGATGTTGTTGATGATTGTCTCTAGCTGGATCGCTAGATCAAACTCTCCTCAAAACTTAACATCACAGTAACTTCTTCATTTCTTCATATCTCGAATGAGATGAATATGAGTCCTTGAATCTTTCACTTAGACAAGATCATATTCAAAACTTCTTTGGTCTTTTCATTCTAATGGATGAAACATCTATCCTGATGTTTGTTGAATCTAGATCATCAGAGAGAACTGAGTTATCTCCTAAATCTTCTGCTCGGTGTCAGTCGCTTCTGTCTTCACTAAGACTTGCTTACAGAATTCCACTTGATTCAATCAAATAGTTTCCAAATCTGAGCATAAAATGCCAAACGTCATATACAGAAGGAATAGGTTGAATTCTTCTTGCATCGCCAAAGTTCAATCTTTGGCTGGACGCTTTTCTTCAACAAATGCAGATATCATCATAAACATCAGACCACAAAATGATTCTTCAGAGTCTTTGGATGTTTATCTTGTTCTTACTGAATTAGTTTTATCACCCAGAATCATTACTTCAAAAAGTAAAGTTTTCTGTCTAAGATTTCTCTGAAGGGTAAGAACTGTGACAACTTCTAATTGTTTCTGATTGAGCATCTTCTGATTTCTTCATCTTGTACTTCTTTAGCAGCTCCGTTACCTTCAACATTTGAAAGGGTAATCTCAAGATTTGCAATCTTCCAATAAGCTTCGGTTTTTAACTACCAAGCTTATCATCAAATCTGATATTGATTTGATTTATCTACAGAAGTACTTCAACTCTAAGTACTTTGTAGCCTTTTAAGAATTCTAATCATGATGCATCAGAATAGATCTAAAAAGAGTTATGTTATGAATAACATGCTACAACTCCTAAGAAATGCTTTGTCATGAAAGTCTAATATATCATGATTCTAGCCATTTGTTTTCAAGATCATGTTCTTCCTTTTACATATGTATCTAGTTGTAAAGAACTAGGACATGCAAATCTCATTCTCATCAAATAACTTCTTAAGTTGTTTGTTCTCAGACTTTCATATATGTACTTTGAGTACAAAAGGTAGAGAATACATATAGATTCATCCTTGTGTCAAGGTCCTTCACCCATGTCTATCATGTAGATACTAGCAGTAACTGATTCAATACTTCATACCATGGTATTTCATTAGTTCATATATGTCAGTGTACAGAAACTCCAAAGGGTAACTACAATAAGTAACCCAACTTCTTATATGATATTTAAATTGTATTTCCTTTGAGATATAGTTATTCCTTTTGAGGAGTGAGCTACTTTGAAGCCAAGGAAATATTTTAAACTTCATAGATCCTTGATATTTAACCGTGTGCCCATGATTTTTTTTAGATTAAAAATTATGTACATATGTCTACCTACAATAAGTAAGTAATCAACGTAGACTAATACAACAGTGAAACACTCGACAATTTTAATTGTAAATAAAGAATAATTTGATTTGGATTGCTTATATCCTAAATCAAGTAAAGTAGATGTGAGGTTTTGGTTCCATTGTCTATTGGCTTATTTAAGCCATAAATAGAGGGATTTAATTTGCAAACTAAATTATTATGAGGAACTTTTAGACCTGATGGGGGTTTCATATATACGTGTTCATCTAAGTCACCATGTAAAAAAAGTTATGTTTATATCTAATTGGTGAAGAAACCAATTATTAGAGACAACTAAGAATAAAAGAAGGCGTACAATAGTCATTTTTACAATAGGACTAAAAATTTCTAAATAATCAATCCCTTCGGTTTAATTGAATCCTTTTGCTACTGTTGTGAATCTTGTTGTGAATTACGACAAAATTCAATATCAATTTGTGAGGCAAAGAACACTAGCAACCAAAATAAATGGTCTACAACAATAATAATCCGTACACATATAATATAACAAAATAAGGTAAGAAAAAACTGAAG